AACCCTATAAGCCCTAAACCCCTAAGCCTTAAACCCGATTCCGCACGAGGCAGATATCAGTCTAGGCCTTGCGCAGCCCGGGGCCGGCGGCTTGTCGCAAAGAGACTACGAAGCCATTGACGTCGCGCCTTCGGCTGCTGAGAGATTTCTGAAGTTTTTTGGGGGGTTTAGTTAGGTTCAGGGTTTAGGGTTTATAGGGTTTTGTGGGTGGGTGTGGCGCGTTTTCTGGTTTTGGGCTTCTGGGTTCAGGCTTACTGATTTGCGGTGTCCGTGGGACTTTATGTAGTTTCTATACGGCTCTAGAGAGAGATTGGTGTGTATTTGTTTTCTTTGTTCGACGCGACTCTTATTTTTGTGTAGGGTTCAAGCAAGGTTTGTAGTTCAAGTGGGTGCATCTATGGGGAGATTCGGCTCCGAACCCTACTTCAGCCCAAAAAACCTTAAATCCAACACCCACACCAACTGGCTGAGGCGTTCTTCTTCGTGTATCTGACCGACGTGTGCGTGCGCATGCTGGTGTTGCGCAGGCGGTGGCTGTACCATCATGGGATCATGTACCTCTCCTTTCCAATTCAGTTCCCTTTTTGGGTCTCCTTACAGGGTCCTAGAGCTGTATCATCATGGGACCATGTACTTAGGAGTAGAGCTGGTAATCTTCAACTGTTCTAGGGTTTTGTGGTAATGATTGTAATCCTTACTTTTCTATATATATATATATACATACCCTAAACCCGAAACCCGAAACCCTAAACCCTAAACCTATCTATTTTTTGTACTCGGAGACTATAGGTACATGAACCTCTTCGATGCCTTCCTGGTCGTTGTCCATGCCGGCGAGATTGTGCAGCTGCCTCAGTCTTAGGGTCTCGATAGGGTCTAGGGTTTAGGGTTTAGGGTTTAGGGTTTAGGGTTTAGGGTCTAGGGTCTAGGGTTTAGTGTTGTGGGACCCTAATAACGGTTTAGGGTCTAGGCGTGGTTCCTTTGAAGGGATCCTTAAAGGGCTACTATAAGGGTTTAGGGTTTAGAGTTTAGGGTTTAGGGTTTAGGGTTCATGGTTCAGTGTTGAGGGACGGTTTAGGGTTTCGGGTCTAGGGTGGTTTAGAGTTTAGGGTTCATGGTTTAGGGTTGAGGGACCCTTGTAATGGTTTAGGGCTTAGGGTCTAGGGTTTAGGGTTCATGGTTTAGTGCTGAGGGACCCAAATAACGGTTTAGGGTTAAGGGTCTAGGGTGTAGGGATTAGGGTTTAGGGTTTAGGGTTTAGGGTTCATGGTTTAGGGTTGGGGGACCCTACCTACAGCCTCCATTGTAGTTCCTTTTTTTGGTTTAAAAAATATGTATATATATATATATATATATATTAAGGATTGTATAAGGTATGCCCCAAAAGGAACTACCATGGAGACTATAGGTAAATAACATACCTTTCATTATGTAGGGTTCCTGAATCAGACCTCCATGTAGGTTCGGGTATGCTCCGCAAGGCTTTCTGGCAAGTGCTTCCGAGTTATTTTTGCTGCCGTTGTTCATAGGTTTATGCCTCTAGTCTCCATTGTAGTTATTTCTGTGGTTAGGACCCTATAATACGATAACGTGAGCACTAAGGATTCGAGAGACGGCATACAATGGAGACAAAACCCTAAACCAAGAGGAACTGCTGTGGAGACTCTAGGTGCCATCTTATCATCATCAGGCTCGCGACAACGACTGTTACGACGACTGCGCCTAATGCGTACCACCACCACCACCGCCGCCACCACCACCACCACCACCACCACCACCACCACCACCACCGCCACCTAAACCCTAAAACCCTAAAGCCCCGAAATCCCTAAACCCCAAAACTCTGAACTCTTAAACCCCCCAAGGCCCAAACCACAAATCTTCAAGCTTCATTCCGAAATTCAAAAGTCCACATCTGCACTCTCCATCGTAGTTCCTTTTTTGGGGGTTCAGGGTTTAGGGATTTTGGGTTTGGAGTTTAGGACTCAGGTTTTAGAGTTTAGGGTTTAGGGAAGTTGAAATTATAGGATCCTAGCCATAAGACTGGTGAAACTAGAAAAGGAACTACAATGGATACCACAGGCAGACTGCTTTTGCCTCAAACTGCGTAAAGCAAAACCTCTACATCTGACAAAGGCCTGATCAAATCAATCAAGCCCGATAAAGACTGCACATCAATCAGCGTTCTCTACAACCATCTTGTATTCCTTGGGGACCAAATGACCCTTATAATTTGGGGCCCTATGCCCTTATACTTTAGGGTTCATTTCGTCATTAAGGTTTTCACCTGCATCAAACATATGCAGGCCTGTCGAAAAGGAAAGCTTGGAAGGAGCCACGCACCCTAATGCGCTTATACGGTTCGCATTCCTGTGGAAATTCTAAACCCGGGACCCTAAACCCTAAACCGAAACTGAAGTATAAAAGTGCTAACCAAGAAGATTCAAATCTAAACCTTCGAATGTAGACTGTTCACCCTAAGACTAGACCCAAAACCCTTAACCTAGACCATAGAAGTTATTAATCTAGATCCTCAGCCCCAAAAGGACCCTGAAACCCCATAAAACCTCTCAGCCCTAAACCCCTAAGCACTAAGAAACACCATAAACCCCTCAGCCCAAAATAAACCCTGTAGACCCTATAGACCCTAAACCCTAAAGCCCTAATCCCCTGAGGCTCGCCGCCGAAGCCAACGGTCACGCTTCTGCCGCGATGCGGGGTGTTAAGCTTCTCCGCCTCTCTGCCTTTAAGGGTTTAGGGTTTAGGGTTTAGGGCCCTTTCGGAGTAAGTAAGGTTATAAGTCCCCTAATTGGGGTCATAAGTATAGTTACCCGCCTCTCTGTCAAAGGAATTACTGGTGGGGAGTTTAGGGTATATAGGGCTTCTATAAGGCTTCCATAAGGTATATAGACCTTCTAAAAGGCTCCTATAATGGCGCCTTTCTGCTTAAAGGATCATGGGACTTAGTAAGTAGGGTTATAGCTCAGATGACTGTACTTATAACCTCAATTACGGGACTTGTAACCTTACTTACTAAGTCCCATGATCCTCCAAGCTTTCTGAGTTCCCCAGAGACTCCAATACCCCTTAATTAAGGAATATATTTCAAATATTATTAAGGATCCTACTATATTTTAAGGTGTATTCCTTAATTAAGGGGTATTGGAGTCTCCGGGTTCTTCTGGGCTTAGGGTTGAGGGTTTGGGGCCTATAGGGGTTTAGGGTTTAGGTCTTAGGGGTTTGGGGTTTAAGTGTTTATGGTTTAGGGTCTAAGGGTTTAGGGGTCTAGGGTTTTAGGGTTTAGGGTTTAGGGTTTAGGGGTTTATGGTTTAGGGTTAAGGGTTTTAGGGGTTTAGGGGTTTAGGGTTTAGGGTTGACTGTTTAGGCGTCTAGGGTTCAGGGGTTTAGGGTTCAGAGTTCAGCGCCTCAAGGAGTTTAGGGGGGTTGTTATGTACTCAGGGTTTTCCATGCCAGTGAATTCAGCCGCAAGGATTGTTGTGATCACTAGAACGTTATATCACGGTCTTTTATTTAATCCCACAAGACAGTATTAAATAATCAATAATAATCATATCTGGAGTTTATATTACAGTTCTCCACTATATTTTACTGTCTTGCGTGGTATACCAAATTGTATTACACATCTTATATCACATAATAAAATCCCTTATTAAGAGACCCTGAAACCCTAAACCCGAGACCCTAAGCCCTAAACCCTAAACCCTAAACCCTAAACCCTAAACCCTAAACCTAAACCCGAGACCCTAAGCCCTGAACCCTGAGACTTCGGAAGCCACTCTCAGCAATGAGGCTTTC